TAAAAATTGGGGGGTTTAAAAGTGCGAATGAGAGTCGGTGCTCGTTCAAACACCTAAGGGTTAATGAAATTTGAAACTTAGTACACATCGGAACTTGAAAACTGTTCTGTCGAAGTTTCGAGGCATTTACAAAGACGCGTATCTGTTTCATGCAGAGTCTGTAAATGTCAACGACGATAACAGGATGGAAACGGTCAATTATGTCGATGGTTAAAGGGTGAAGAGGATTGTTTCGTATCTTATCTCACGTAGATCGCGTGAAAGTTTAATTAACGCTGGTGTATAGCTGTTTGGAAGACAAAGCCCCGTTCGAGGACCTCTCATTTTCTTTAATATAATCACTGGGCCACGATTTGCTACCTACTGAAGTCATATCTGCCGCATCGTTAACCTGTCAGGTATTCAAACCGAGAACTTTGGCTGGTTCCTCTTAATTAACTCGTTATAACATCGTTAAACACCAGATGTTTAAATTTTCCTTTCAAACTATCAAAAAATTTGTTAACTTCGTAATTCTTCATTCTGACAAAAAAAAAAGAAGGTGGAAATAGTATTAACTCTTTGTTTATTAATTTGCAATAACGAATTAGACTCGTGGCACAGATTTTGGTCAAGGTGTGACAAGAACAGTTATATTAGTAACAAAAGTTAAGGTTAATTCTAATTGTAGTTTTAATTTTGATAAATAATGTACAATACGTTAGTTTTTCGTACTAGACACAGTATTAAAGCAATGAATAGCTGAACTTTACATGCATAGCCAGTAAAAAAAATCAAGGGGATAAAGATTGAATAAACTTTTTTTCAAAATTTGTCCTGAAACAGGATTCGAGTTCTTATTTTCTCATATTTCCATAAAATAGTCGCCAGTAAAAAGTTCATAAGTCAAGGGGTTCATACCGGGTGGCTCATAATTCGCTTTATCATTTAAAAATTGAACAACCTTTTTTTCAAAATTTGTTCTGAAACAAGATTCGAATCCTTATTTTCTCACATTTCCATGAAATTGTTGCCAATGAAATGATCATAAGTCAAAGGGTTAATACAGGGTGACTCATAATTCGCTTTATCATTTAAAAATTGAACAACCTTTTTTTCAAAATTTGTCCTGAAACTGAGGATTCGAGGCCTTATTTTCTCACATTTCCATGAAATTGTTGCCAATGAAATGATCATAAGTCAAAGGGTTAATACAGGGTGACTCATAACTCGCTTTACCATTTAAAAATTGAACAAACTTTATTTCAAAATTTGTCCTGAAACTGAGGATTCGAGGCCTTATTTTCTCACATTTCTATGAAATTTTTGCCAATGAAATGATCATAAGTCTAGGGTTAATACAGGGTGACTCATAACTCGCTTTATCATTTAAAAATTGAACAACCTTTTTTTCAAAATTTGTCCTGAAACTGAGGATTCGAGTCCTTATTTTCTCACATTTCCATGAAATTGTTGCCAATGAAATGATCATAAGTCAAGGGGTTAATACAGGGTGACTCATAATTCGCTTTATCATTTAAAAATTGAACAAACTTTTTTTCAAAATTTGTCTTGAAACTGAGAATTCGAGTCCTTATTTTCTCACATTTCCATGAAATTGTTGCCAATGAAATGATCATAAGTCAAAGGGTTAATACAGGGTGACTCATAATTCGCTTTATCATTTAAAAATTGAACAAACTTTATTTCAAAATTTGTCTTGAAACTGAGGATTCGAGTCCTTATTTTCTCACATTTCCATGAAATTGTTGCCAATGAAATGATCATAAGTCTAGGGGTTCGTACAAGGTGGCTCATAATTTGCTTTACCATTTAAAAATTAAATAAACATTCTTTCA